GTGGCACTTGGCCCTACAATAGGGACAGGTACAGTTTTCATTGCTTGAGCATTTTTGTGTGCCGCCTCCGAGTTCAGCGCGATCTCCACAGCTTTAGCAATCGTTAGATCGCTTTCTGTTAGTAATTTCTTCTGCGTTGCTTCGCTTCGGAGACCGCACACAAAACGGTCCCTGAGCGCCTCATCCAAGTACCCGGCGAACGCGCATTTGGCAGCTAGGCGTCTGAGTTCGGCGATGTATTCCGCGATCGATTCCCCTGCCGATTGTTCTCTTTTATGAAAATGGAAACGTTCGACGATCACTAACGATTTCGGCTCGTAGTGGGCCTTGAGTACTTTCGTGATATCCGCGAAAGACGCTGAAATCGGGCTCGCAGGGGCCAGCAAGTCACGCAGTGTGCTATACACCGTTGCACCGATCGTATTTAAGAAAATGGGTACCTTCTTCTCTTCCGCGATGCTGTTCGCAGCGAAGAAAATCTCCACCCGCTCGCGCTCCAGATATGCGGTGAAGGGTCCAGCCCCTGGGTCGAACTCCTCGAGTTTACCGAACGGGAGCGTAGCCATCCTGAACACAATCCCGGCCTCGTCGCCACTGTAATGTCCTCGCGCTGGCGCGGTTAGGATCGAGTTGGTTCTGCTCAAATCAATACACAAGGCCGAGGCCAATGCACAACACACCAATCTTATATACGTGTAGTATGATGTCATGACATGCGTACAACTATCAGGAATACACACGATACATAGTATACTGAACATACAGCCATTGTGATGTAACAACAGTCCATACATATTATAGGGTATACATTACAACATGCATACAGCTAATACAACATACACTAATACAACATAACAAGTCCATACATCACAGCTTACACGGGCCACTCATTCCGAATAGGGGCAGCCACAACAGCCAATTCTTGTGGGCTAAATGACTCCACCATGCAAATGCTGGGTAGATGGTCAAGCTCGGCTTACCTAGTTTATGTCAGGACACCTAGAGAACAGCTGGCAACCTACTCGTCGGTACTCAGCCAGGACCAGTCATAGGGTTACTGGTGGAGAAGCAGCCGTTTTGTTTTGTTTTTTCCACTATGATTGTTGTATAGAGTAGGGAGGTAGGTAGGTTGTAGGTAGGTTTTACGGTGTACTACTATAAGGAAATTGCTTGGGCTCGTTCCTGGGAGGTAGCTCGTGTGCAACACTCTCATGCTCGCCCAATCTAGATAATGCTACAGCTATTCTGAGCCATTCTCCGTAACATAATATGCCATTTTAGAGGGGAGACAGAGGTACCCCAATGTCAGGGCCAGAAGAATGGTCTGGGCATGCGCAAAGCTGGCCTGCTTCTGAATCCCCAAACCATTACGTCAGTGTAGGGAGCACAGCAAATAACAGCAAAGCTGCACAAGAATTGCGTAATAAGCTGTTAACCGTATATATCCTCGCTGCGCATGCGCGCCGAGGGTAACTACAGTATTAGTGTTTTACTATTTTGCTAGCTAGCCTAGCATATAATGGCATTTTGTTTTTTTTTAGGAACTTTACTTGATTGTTACGACCACGATTTGAAGGAAACTAACTGTCTTAGATTTAAAACTGGAAAAAAGGATTTCATATAGACTAAAAACTGTAGTGTATTGATAGCTATATAGCTTAAGCTACCAGTAGCTTCTCTCACAGTGATGAGGTTGCTAATTGTGGCTAGCTGTAACAGCGCTTCATGGGGTTATGCGCTCCTAAATATACACAGAGAGCCCAGCAGTGCACTGACACAACCAGTAACGGTCAGTAGCTTGCTCTCTGTGTATATTTAGGAGCGCACAACCCCGGCCCCGTGGGTGGTGAACAGCAGCAGCTGCATTCTGCAGGGCCCCTGTAACAAAAAAAACATAAATTTAAACAGATTTAGCTGCAGTCTATATAGCATGATATTGTGGAGACAAAAACCATCATCCACAGACAATCACACTAAGTCTCCAGCCTTCTGTGTCATGGAATGCTTGTGGGATATTTGGAAGGGTTTGGGCAAAAGTGAAACCCGAAGTTCAATCGTGTACATGCAAATTAGCAAATCTGAATCAACTGATTGTATATTAGTTAGGTATGCATGTGTGCAGTGTAGACTGGTGGGTAATGAGACTGCCCATTATGAAACGGTTCACTACTAATGTACGCAACTGTAGTATGTGCTGCCACACCCACCTGCCTGCTTCATTAAGTATTGCAGGATTGAAGTAAAGCGAGAACAAAACAGACTCTCGGCACTAGTGATAAGAGTTGTTTGCTAATGGCGATAACAGCGTGTTATTCACATGGTCAGAATGTGCTGATGCAGGCCGATAGATGTATAAAGTGAGTGTTGGTACCATTTTGATAATGTGTTAATCTTATTAACTAGACATGAATAATACAAGTCAGCTAATAACTATAATATGAATGTCCAGGAATGTCAAGGTATAGACGGATGGTGTGATATACGAATGTATGTGTGGCAGGTGTCTCCTGGAGTTCTGAGACTGCAATCCCATGTATATACCACCTGGTGGAGGTTTTCTCCCTTATGGAGGACTTTAAAAACTGGACAAATGGAACTATAGCATGACAAACTTTACTAAGTATACGTAGCTGGTATACTGCGATTGCCTTTTTGTAATGTAGGTTAGTTTGTAAGTACAGTAATTGTAGCCACGTAGTAGGAAAATCTGGACTCCAACCAGGTGGAGCATGGCCTCGCCCTTTCTGGAGTGTCTCACGTGTCGGGAGTTTAAAGAGGCCGAAACACGTGTGACATGGTGAAAGATTGGGAGCTCCCCTGATGACCAGTAACAAAGAGCCTAGCACTGCACCTGCATGCTGCTGGACTTGTGGATAGGTTTACATGTACATGCACCTGGCTGGCTGCATGTGGTGACGCCGACAAAGCCACCCGCCCTCTCTCGTTAGCTGTAATCCTGCCTACACTTTACCTCTCTTTGTTTTTTCCCCAATAACAAACACACACACACGATACTGTGTGGCGGGGACATTTTTGTTGGGTACATTATTATTGTAGCACACGCAGACATAATTATAATGCATTGTGGAAGGGCATGGACAACACTTCCCATAAAGTTTACCTTCGAAAATTTGACTACCTCATGGGTTTGGGTCGACTATATATACGAAAAGTTTGTCCCTACAAAACTTCCCCACTACAGTATATAGGCTAGTGCCAGTACACTGGTAAAAGCAGTGGCAGCAGACTGCCTCACTATGTTGAATCAGCATCTTGGCTCTGAGGTGAATAGAGCAACACTCTCCTCAGTAACTTTTTCTCTTGTATTTTTTTGACTGTAGCTACTTACTGTATTCTGTGCAGACACCTTGCAGTGTTCTATATATACCCATTGTTCCTGGCCAACGTTCATAGCAACTTGGACTATGAACTACTCTGATTTGTATAACCCAGCACCTGTACCAATCGTTTATCACGACGACAGATGTCAGTCCAGTGGATCTTGCAACATCATTGGCGAGCGGGAGCGAGTCGATCGAGTGGATTTTTTTATTTATCGGTTGTTGGTACGTCGTGTAAGTGCGCATGCGCGGCTTTGTACGCGCTTCTTAATTATAGTTCGTGAGACCATACGCTGCTGGCATGGATAGATATGGACAGCATTACTCTCTCAAATGTAGCCATCCACCTGTTTGACTAGACCGACATAATCGTAGCTACCTAGAGGTAATGTGTGAATGGCCATGTTTGGCATCTGGAGTGCATGTCTCATACACCATCTGATGGCAGGACGAAGGAGCATGTAAGTGCATGGATTCATTTAGGTGCAGTCAAAGATCCTGACTAAAAGCATGTCCATGAACCTACTTAAGCTGGCAGCAGCAGGGGTGACAGTGATGTCATAATTACCACAATACTATAAACTAGCTAGTACGTCAACAAATCCTGAGAAAGAGTTATCACACACACGTCATCCCAATTACAGAAAGTAACAAAACACTTTCCTTCAGTCAACTAGATTAAAGAGTTTTTTCCTGAGGTTATACCAGTTCGTATCTTACTTCGTTAGTCTCATTATAATTCTCAGTGGCGTCTGCCAGAGTTGCGACAGCATACGCATCATTCAGAGAAGTGATGACTTCCCGGTGTAACCCCAGATTGGCTCGTGTCACGATCGGTGAATAGGTGCAGGACTCACGTGGAGAAGTGATGATCATGTTATTGGTAATTGGTGGTTGTCGAGAGAATGGTAGTTACCATCATCTTTAGAACCAACTGTGGCATAGACTGGGTCCTCGCTGCGTGTCCTTTGCTGCCGACACACACGTTTTGAGTAGCAAATGTACACTAGAATAGCCGCAACACAACTTGTCACTCCTATTACGACAATGGCAACACCGATTATAGCTCCAAGTACAGGGAGACTTATTGCTTCGCCATTTACAGTGGTTGGTGTTGGGTCATTTCCCTGAATGGTAATTGTGACTACAGATGGACTTGTTATCCTGGCACCAGGTTCTGTGCCTCCACTGGTGATGGATATGGTAAAGTATTCATCTCCTTCATCTGCAGTGTCACTCAATATGAGGATATCTATACACCCTGTGGACGTGTTTTGGCCTTCACTGAACACAACTTGAAATGGTTCAGGAATAGAGACATTCTCAAGGATGGCTACGGGGTAAAGTACATACAGATCTGCTTAAGCTTACATGCTGTGCCGTCTTGTGCAGCGAGACCCACTGTGAGAGCTGTTTCAAAACCACCACTCACCCCAGACTCCACACAGACACTGACTGAAGTCTCGTTTGCTATGAGCTCACTTGTCACAAATCTTACTTCCGCATCTATATAAAAGGGTAATTTTTTAACTTTACCACAACAATCCAAAATCACATATGTATAATAAGCTCATTTATTAGATATTATGAGAACTAACCATTATCAATGATGTTGACAGTAGCAACTGATGGAGTATATAGCTACCACATGCCCAGTTTGGCTCAACGTGAGAGATGCTCACAGTGAACTCGTGGTCTCCCTCCAGAATCTCGTCCTCCCGGATTGCAAATGTGAGACACTTGGCCAGTGGACTGTCTCTTTCAGAGTAAATGATGACCAGTTCACCACCAGTCTGTAAATACCAATAACTACAAGATCAATGTAATCAATGGCATTATAATTACATCAAATTCCACCTTCTTACCAGCTTTGCTGTCGTTAATTTGAAGTGTAATTGACAGTGTAGCAGTGATGTTTCCAGTAACACCAGGACTTACACATACCTCAGCATGTCCATTAGCTTGACCAGTTCCGTGATAGTCACATGTGCATCTGAACACAAAAATCGTAATTTTGGTATCAATTTGCTTTACTTGTGTAGCTACTACCTCCAGTATCATTGATGAGACCTGTTGTGAAATTGGGTTCTCCCAAGAGTGTATACTCAGGCGATATTAAAGTTGGATGACGAAATCTTCTATGGCATCTTCAAAATCGTTACAATCAATGTATGGCAGCATGTCGTTCCATTGTCATCTCCCTCTACAAATACTGCTCTAGTGAAGCTAGACAGTTTAAAGCCAGGAGCCATGAAATCAGCAGTATGAAACGGCAGCTTTTCTGGACTGATAATAGCTTACTTGCATTTATACTTCCAATGATGAGATAGAACGATATATTATGTTCAAGCACCGTCTGATTGTTAAGCAGTAGAAGTTCAATGCATACATCTACTGTTTCTCCTTCTCTTTCAGTCAACACTATCTCTGGAGTCACAAACTGAATTGAAGAGGTGATCCCTGCAGGAATAAAGTCCAGGATTGATGTATGTCTCTGCATTATGACTGTTTCTTTGACTGAGGCTACTTGCTTCATGTGAAAACTTACTTTATCGATCTCTTATTGTAGCGCTGTTTAGGGCACTCTGGACCTCAGTAGTGTCATCGAGAACAGTCGCCACCAGTACACTTCTACTCGGACCAGTCTTTGGTGTGAAAGTATGACCTCTATCTGGACCAGCTGACAATCCTATGTAATCAGCTGGTTCAGCTATTGTATACGTAAAACACAGTTTGTATAGAACTTTAATGTTTCGTTTTTCTGCTCACTTGCAGTCATATCCATTGTTGAGAGGTGTACTATGACATCACCACACATCAGTTTACCACTGATTAGAACCAGACTAACTTCAGCTGGCCTCCCTTCCATTGTCGATGCAGCATCAGCTAGAGAAACCATCACCTAAACAAATGAATTATGAGTCCATACTGTCATCAATGATAGTAACAAGACTGCTTCCTAATATTAGAGTTCCTGCAGTGGCATTGACTAAAGTAAGGATGAGAGTGTGAACTCCCTCCACATCATCATCTTGTATTGTTGCCAGGGTGAAGCACTGTGAACTTCCATCATAGTGCCAGGAGTGAATGAG